CACGTTAAAGACTGACGGAAGGTAACGGTAATGAATTTCGTCATCATTTTAAAGTCTTGTTTACTGAGGTCCTAACGCTAAGTCAATTTTAATTTAAATCAAACACCAAAGTTTTGGTTTTATGAAGCTTGCCTGAAACACAAAGCTTGAGGTCGTTGCTGCTCTCACTGGGGCTGCCTGTTAGGGTGGATTAGTTCTTGTATTTTATAAACACACTGGCAGCAGGCAGAAGATTGATGTAATTAGGAAAAGCTCTGTAACACCAAATTACTGTAGTAACACCTAACCCTGCTGTTGTCACCCTGTAGCGATACCCAGCTCTGCCAAACCTACCCGCACCCAAACCCATCACCAAACCACTCCCCACAATGTAAATGCCTGCTTGTGTTCCAGGTTTGCCATAAACATCCACTCCTCTGGAGTGTGGGGGTCTTTTGGGGCCTGCCTGATGCACCTCTGTGGAGCTGCCTGTTGGTGTCTTCGCCTTTCCTCGCGTCATCCAGGGATCTGGCCCCACATAGTGTCCTCTCCTGTGGTAGACAGCGGGGGAATTCCTCCTGCCCTCCCCCAGCCTCTACGTCTTTGGGGCCTGAAGCTCTTCCCTGTGACAATAGCTCAGGAGGCAAGGTACACATCTTCTGTTGAGCACGATGTACCTGTGGCAAAACCCAAAAGCTGTTTCCAGGGCGAATGTCACCAAGCGGTTGCTGTGCGACGCACCAGACTGCAGATGAGCCCCGCCCCCCACACCCCCGGACTCCGACCTGCAACCTGGCAGCCGTGCTCCTGTGCCATCACGGTGTGTTCCTGGCCACCTCAGAGCTTCAGCACACTGGCCTGCAGGCTGGCTCCCAGATCACCAGCTGAGGCTGCCTTAGATCCCTGGTCACAGGGTGAGCGGCAGAGTGCAACAGAGGCCCGAGAAGGAACCCCACAAATAAATACATGAAAAAGTACATAGGCTGCGCCATCGCTCAGAACACTGAGGTTAGGAATTGCGGCCTCTCCAACAACAACACAGGGATCCTGAAGCAAGGGCACGTGGGGTGTATGATCTGAACATGACTGCCCCGCGCCACAAGATTTTTAGTGAAAGGGATCTTTAGGAACTCATGCAATTAAATGTCGACAACAATTAGATGTCAGTTGCATGGAGATTAAATATTGAATGGTCATAAAAATGGTTTCTGTTGAATCTCACTGGCAAATAATATTTTCATCCCTAATGAAGTGACGGAAATGATACATATATCCAATTAAATGAGTAAGCAGGGGCAGAATCCCACTGAAACCAAATCCTGCAAAACCAGATCCTGCACAACCAGGTTTAATTCAAAAACTAAGCAATGAGAGCGTATTATTAGGGGTTTTTTGTTTATTTTTTCCTTCTTCAGAACTGGGACTCGATATGTGCCCGAAATGGACCATAACGCAAGACCTGTGAGTTTGCGTGAGAAAGTTGATTGATGTGACTGGGAGGGAGTCATCTCCCCAAAGCAGACAGAGCCCTTATATCAGCTAAATCCTTTCCAAACAAAAGGCAAAATAACTGATGTCATAATGTGGGACTGAATTAGTTCAGTGATGAGGAAATGAAAATTAATTTTATTTGCTAAATATAAACTTCTTATAAAGGTACAAGCATATTCAAGTCTCTGCCTTGTACTTATGTAAGTGAAATTCTTCAACCATCTCACGAATCACATCTTTCCTGCTTTTTAAAGGATTTTAGTTAAGTGTTTGGTGGTGTGAGAGACTGAATAGCCAGCTAACTGTCTCAAAACTTGCTCCTCTGTGTGCTTATCTGAGAAGATCAGGCAAGGTGGCCCTTCAGGCTTGCTGAAGCAGCGGACCTTTCTTTTGCTTACAGGACACCCAGGTGGGGTGCCTACCCACCAAGGCCTGTGGTTTGAACCCTGCCCCTGCCCAACAACAACAAAGCCAAAAGGAAAGCGCAGGAAATGTATGCGCAAGTGTGTGCCTTAGGCACAAGGCCTATAAAAGTTTGCCATCTCAGGCTGCCTAGGCGGGGGGACCATCAACTCTGCAGGCAACCACTGAAGACCATGGGGGACCACCAACCCCACGGAAGACCACTGAAGACCCCAGAAGCACAGACCCTTGGGATGCTGTGGATCCATGGTGGTGACTGCACTCTTCCATCTGGACCTCTTGCTTAACTTTCTATCTTTCTTTTCTTCCTTTCCTATCTCTGCTCTCTCTCTTTCCCCTGCACAGTTAATAAACAGGTGGGCTTATGACATCTGACCTCGTTTGTGTCTTAATCGTGCTGGAAGGGATCGAACCTGAAATGAGAGGTTGGTCCAGCCACCCCTAGCTCAGACTCATCTGAGGTCGGCTACAAAGCAAGGCGGCCTTTCCTCTCAACCAACAAAATTGGATCCTAACAGGTGGCTGTACTCTGGCACCTAGATTGTGTTTTGATGGTTTCCTCTGTGTTGGTACAGAACCGGCAGCATCTTTCAAAGAAGAAAATACTTTATTTCCTCTGAATGCTGCAGCTGAGCCTTTAACACCCAAGACAGCATTTCCATTAGAGTGAGGGTAGTGAAAGGCATGATGTGTAGGAAACATCATCACCCAGCCAGCCAGGGCGTTTTTCAGTAATCTGCAAAGTAGCAGCACAAGCACAAAGATGATCTAGGAGAAGAGTGGTTTCATAGGTGAACACTGGAATCACAGTAGTTCCAACGCTTGTTTTCAAGGCCTGAGCAGTTAAGAAATGTCACTGCCGGGACTGGAATCCAGTGTCACCCATCAAGGGGGGGCTAAAAGTGATGGCAGGCCTGGTTTCTGCCTGCGATTTCTTTAGCGAAGCTCTCTGGAGGTGGTGTTCTCTGCAGTTATTTTTTTTGTTCCTGCTGCTGAGGCAGGTGCGTGTAATTGTTCCCATCATACTTTCAAATCTAAAATGACACCATTCAAACTGTTATTACACATTTTACTGAATTTCTTGGGATGCACTGGAGGAATCTGTTGAAAACCATAGCTTCATCCTGATACCTCCCCCGAACTTGAAGGTGGAAAATCACTTGGAGATTTCAGTAGGCTGCTTTTTATGTCTGTGGAGGAAAAGATGTGCATACGAAAGGAAGTCACATGTCCTAATATATTTGAAATATGAAAACAAATCCTACCACGAACGTATCATTTATACGTCCTATGCTTTCATCTTCTAGTGACCACACAGTGATTTTTTAGCTAGTATAAGAACAGTGCACTTTAATTAATAGAAGGAACACAGTAAATTTGAAAAACACACTTCTGAAAACATTTTTTCTTAAATTTTGGGTTGGTTTATTTAGGTAATTTGACGGTATTTTGTGTGTTTCATCAGTATAATCAGCTTCTTGGGTCTTACATGAGATTCTTGTGTCAGTTAAGAATTATTTTTAATATAATAAGCAAAAAAAGAACACCCTGGAAATACTGTTTTAAAGGTGTATAAAAATAGAATCTGAAAGTGAGTTGCTACAGTGTCCTAATGATTTCAATTGCCATATCCTCTTCCCTTGCTTATTACCGTGCAATTTAGCTTTCCCCCGGCTGTAGCATCACTAGCTGACGCTGCAGACAGTTCGCAGTGAGAGATTGCTCCTCACAGCCTTAAACGGGGTCTCCATGTACCACGAGGTGATAAAACTTCTGGGAAATCTATCCACACATTCAGAGGCATAATGGATGGATTAACATAAACGCTTTTTTTCTTCTTACCAAATGTCCTGTGGTGCGGTCAGAGAAAGCCTTAGAAGATCGCTTCTTCTGATGACACTCTTCCCTGGTTTGGGCCGAGAGGTGATGGGAGTTCCATTAGTGTTGATTTAGCCTTTTCGCTAGCACTGGTCAGAACAGCATTTACTGCTCCTTCATACCATGTGGGTACAGTTGTACAGATGGTCAGCTCTTCAGCTCAGGTCTGCACCAGTCCTTTGCCTGTAAGTAGAGAGAGAGAAGAAAGAGGGAGAGAATGTACAGATTTGATGAGTGCTGGCATAACAGTACTGTAAAAAGCATTTTAAACACGTAATACTGCAATTATAGCAGGGCTTCTTGCCAGCATAGTGATATCAAAAAATCACATCTCTATGTGCTTTTGCCATGCTTCAGGTTTTTAGTGTAGACTTGCTCCAAATGACCCAGAGCAAAAGGATGGCACTTCACATCTCTCCTCACAATATCTCACTTCTTGAATTGATGAGGAAAAGAAAATTCCTGTTATAGTCCCCCAAATTGCTTCCACTTTGACCTACAAAAATAGATAGGTACACGGGCTGGGCTGAATGTGT